GTAGTAGTAGTAGTATCAGTTGTTGTTGTTGTTGTTGAAGAAGACGTTGTTGTTGTCATCTTACATGTTGCGACCGCCAGGAAATTTCCGTCTTCATTCTCATTCTAGACTTAACGCAAGGGGTTGCTGTCGGCACGGCCTCCAGAAGCAGGTCCCAAGCCTAGTCAGTGAGCATCAGCCCGGTGCCAAGCCCAGAAGCTGCGAGCCCTCCAACTGAAGCCCCAATCCAATATCGTGAGCATTGTAGCGGTCACCTTCGACCGACTGCACCTTCTTTCTCAAGGGAGCTAGCTCCGACTGCATGCGAAAGCTTGCAGAAGGGCTCCAAATCCTCTTTCCGGTCCTTCCACCCTCCCTCACGATCATCAGCAACAGCATCGTCATCATCAACATCATCTTCGTCTTCGTCATGTCCTACCACGCTGAAACCACGGACACCGCAGAATTTCATGCCAGGCGTGCCTGGATGCTTCTCCAGGAGCTCCGAGATGGGCATCTCCATCTCCTGGCCACGGGTAGTGCGACTCTGGACATATTCGTTGGGGGCTTAGGGCTTAGGGCTTCAGGGATGAAGGGCTTTAGGGCTTCAGGTTTAGGGTTCATGGTCCCGCCAAAGCAAAAACTGGGTGCAAAACGAACCCAGGGCTGAAGGGTCCAGATGCTGATGAGCTGAAACCGACTGACAACTTCCAGCAGTACCCAATTTCTGGCTAAGGCGTTTAATCTCAGTTGCCAAACTAAACGCAATATTCTTTACTGTACATCCCCAACTTCTTCTGGGCTCCCTAAACCCAAATCCTTACAGCAGCTCAAGATAAACTCCTCAACAAGAACCCAGGAAAGAGCCTTTAGCCCTTTTGGGGGCCCCGGGGTCACTTCCTGCCGGTACTTGGGGTTTAGGGCTAAGGGCTTAGGGTTTAGGGTTTAGGGTTTAGGGTTTATAGGGTTTAGGGTTTTGGGTTTAGGGTTTAGGGTACCTGCTTCAAGCCGCTCTTTACAAAGCCTTTGTGGCGAACTCGGGTTTAGGGTTCAGGGCTTAGGGTTTCGGATTCCTGAAGGGGGCCTACAAGGCTACTACAGTGTTTTGGGCATAAGGTCGTACGGTTTAGGGCGGTCAGCAAAAAAAGCTGCCAGCATCTACAACCCTCTGTCTAGAAGAAGGAATTCAATGGTTTTGGGTTCGGGTTTAGGGTTTTGGGAGACAACATGCCAAGGCGAAACAAGGGCCCGAAGGACCCCCTAGACAAGGGATCCCCCCGCAGTTGAAGCAACTTGAAAAGTCCTAGAATGCCCTATAACACCCTTGTGAACCACTTACACAAGCCATGGAAAATCCGTCTAACGGACTCTGAAACCCACGAACCCAATCCCAAGCACTTCGAAGATTCAGTTCGTAAGCCTGAGGGTTTGGGGTTGAGTTGGGATTTAGGAATACAGTCTGAGGGCTCACCGCCTAAACTCTAGAATTCAGGATCTACCTTTCCGCAAAAATAAACCTACCTTCTTATGGACAAGCACATAAACAGTATCAGGGGACCCTCAACAGGAGGTGTGAATTGGTTCAGTTGGTCCTTCACAGGGCCAGACAACCTTCAGCACTACACCCGAGTCGATAATGATGGAGGCTTCAAAGCAAGAATAGGGTTTGTGGGCTATGTCTTGCAAGAAGCAATATACCAGGGACTAAACAAAGCATGCCCCTAGGAATTATCAAAGCCGCTACTTGGAGGTTCATGGGAGGTTATAAATGGGGTTATAAGTCCCCTAATATGGGTTATAATTATAGCTACCTTACTTATAACCCCACTTATAGCTACCCATGAACCTCCAAGTATGACTCTCTAAACCCTGCTTTTCCAAGGTAGGGTCAGGCATGGAGCTTTGGATGCGAAGGCCTCTGGTCCGAGAGGACCTGGTAGGCAAACTCCATCGTCCTGAGCTTTGGGTATTACTTAAAAGTTCATGGGTAGTTACAACTGGGGTTATAAGTAGGGTAACTATAGTTAGAACCCATATTAGGGGACTTATAACCCTACTTATAGCTGCCCATGAACCTCCAAGTAGGTACACGTTCTTGTTTTGATCGCCTTTTCCGTCGGCAGGTGCAGTCAGAATCCCTCCAAGGCAAGGTGGCTTAGGGTTTGGGGTTCCTCAAAGGGGTCTACTTAAAGGTTCATGGATAGTTTTTTGTGGGGTGATAAGTAGGGTAACTATAGTTATAACCCTACTTATAAGTGCCCATGAACCTCCAAGTATAAGGCCCTAAACCCTAAACCCTAAACCCTAAACCCAAAGCCCTAAACCCTAAACCCTGTAGGGCAGGATTTAGGGCTTTTGGTTTTAGGCTTTTTGAGGCTTAGGCTGTCAAGGTTGAAGGAGGGCTTCAGGGGCTTTAGGGCTTTGTGTGTTTAGGGTTTAGGGTTTAGGGTTTAGGGCTTAGGGTTTAGAGTCTAGAGGTTTAGGG